AAAAGTGAGATAAAGATTTAATAAATATAAAATTATGCCAATTAAGTAAAACTTCTTTCAGTTTTATATTGATATCTAGATATTTAAGTGAAATTACTCTAAACTTAACCCGTAAGTGGTACGGTGAAAAAAATCACACTAATGGTATGGTGCGGTCTCCTGGACCTCTTAATTTTTTATGTATTATATTGACCACATTTTTTTATTATTCCATCACATTTTTGGTAGAAAAATATCTTAGTAGTATTAAATGAGATATGACAAACTTTTTTTCGACTTTAATTTAAATCATGTAAAGTAACTACTACATTTTTCAGGAAGTTTTATGATCTGCCATGCAATTAAGTACTTGACCTTCGTTATGTCCTGAAGCATTTTAAAATACATTTTTACTTCACAACCATTAAAATATTAAACTAGACATAGATTAAAATAGAATAAAAAAAAAAAAAAATTATAATTAAAATTTTTTTTAAAAAATAACAGTAGTCAAAAAAACTCTTATAGGATTTATAAATTGTCATCAAAATATAAACAAAACATTTTTTCTTTTTTAAATTATCCTTTTCGACTTTTAAATAAAAAAATATTATACTTAATGTAAAATTAAAACTATATTAAAAATATTATTAATTTAAAAAAACTAAAAAATATTAAACTCAAAGCCACAAAAAATTAATGAAAAGTCGTGGATACGTATTTCGGAAACAATGTTACCATTATCAATTGTAATTTCCAATACAATTTATACATATTTTTCTGCTGCACTGCAGACATATTGCATCTCCACAAAGTTTACATTGATACATGGTTTTTCTTTTCTTTATTGGAGGACTATGCGACAAGTTTTTCGTATTTCCAGTTTGTCTTCATACAATGTTGTATTCTTTAGGTTTTTAGATTTTCCAAGAATTCTTTCAATATTACTCCTTATTTCTCAAAGGATATATGTATTTTCAAATCGTCGCTCCAATTCAGGAGTTACAAGTTCAAACGCTAAAGTTTTAAAAAATCGGCCCTCGTAATTGATTTGTTTTTTTTTAATGAATTATACAAGACATACGAATTTACTCCAGTAATATCAAAAAGTCGGTAAAATATAGCCAACGGCCAGCGACGTGTACGGAGTCCTGTAGAATAAATGGAACATTTTTCGTTCAGAGCATCTACGCCACCTTTCGTAATATTATAGTATGAAGAAATTATCTCAGGTTTTTGGATATCATCGTCATAACCTTTTTGATTGTGCATCGATGATATCAATAGCAATGGACTTAGTCGATTTTTGAAAAGAAAAAAAAAATTACATTTATGGTATGGTGCGGTCTACCAGACCGCTTATCATTTTTAAACAGCTTTGACGACTAGAGCAATACAAGTTTACCTTCAAAAACTTGGTTCATCATTTTAATACTACCTCCAAAAAAGGTAAATCTTATATCCGTGAACATAACATCAATATCTTATCAGCTAAATAAAAATAAAAATTGCAGCTGTCTATTAGACCGCACCATACCACTTACGGGTTAATATAAATATCAAAAATATATTAGTATATTAAACTATATAGTGAGGAATATAAGTATTCAACGTGTTAGTAAATAAATACAAAAATCTTGTACAAAAGGTATTAATAAAGTTAAATAATTATCCATTCAAAAGTCTTCAATTAATCATGCCTTGTAAAGTAACTCTTTTAATAATGCAGTATCTCTTAAATTCAGTAATGAAATTATGCGTTTTTTATATATTTATTAGGGTGGTCTAAAAAAATTACTTAAAAAAATGTTGTCCTCCCACCACCTAAATTTTTCTGTAGACTCTAAACATAGTTTCTTCATTTATACTTATAAAAAAAATTATTTTTGAGCCATTCCAAGCAATTTAAATATTCTATTGTACAGAATAACTTACGGTATGTTTCCTATGCTATACTTATAAGTATTAGTATTATCGCAATTGTAATATTTTCTTATACGATTGTATTATTACTATATCAATAAATAAAACATTTTATCTACACCTTTGACAGGGTTATTCCTATGTATTGTACAGTGTATAACTTATTATACTATGACAATGTGAATAATGGTTGACGTACGTCTATTATCATTGTAAAATTATATTTTAGTTGACAGTGCGCTGTTTTGATGTTCATGTCACTCTAATTATTATATGTCAGTGTGCTTTAAATGTGAATCAGTGCTAATTTAATTATATATATATTTATTCAGTAAAAATAAAAATGACAATGCGACGTAATAGTTATATTTATTTAATTGGTCAGCCTATTTCAACTGTACCAGGTAATCGTTTGCCGTCTAATGGTGAAGTATTAGGGTTTTTCTTTCATATTTATCGTATTGAAAAAAATTTGTTCAAATATGCATTTATTGATCGAAGAAGTTACAACTTGAAAAGATAATGCTATAAATCAGTTTAAAAACTTTATAATCAATGGCTAAATCTTTTCAAACATAAAAATAGAAAAACAGAGCTTCACCGACAACACGAATGTGGGTTTCATATAAAAATGGCCAATCTCTTCGATATCGATGATGCTGATGCTTTAAAAAAAATTTAAATTGATGAAGATAGACAGTTTGTACTGGCACAACGGATGGCAGGGAGAAGAGGTTTTATGTCTACAGTGGACGTTTTTACCACGCAAAAAGAGAATCGTAAAGATAAACGAAAAGAATAACAAAAATTCTATAAAGAAAAAGTTACTAATCAAAATTTGAGTAATTTTTATGATTTTACATCATTAAGTACAGAAGAAAACCATTCTAGTGATAATACTAATTCCGACGATGATTTTATCAATGAAAAAAAATCAAAAAAAGCAAAAAGTAAAAAGAAATTGAAACTTTTGATCACATGAGAATTATCAGCTGTGCTAAATAGCACTAAGGTCAGCAATCGGCAAGCCACTTAATGACATTTTGAAATATTCAGCTATAAAATATTATTTGATATTTATTTCCACAATAAGAAAAATAAAACATTATTATTTAATGAACAAATTTAACTAAATTAAAAGATTCACCAAAACAAAATTCACTTTAAAATTTCTATGTGTCATTTAGTTAAAAAAAAAAATATTCTAAGTCAAAATTAATTGAAAAACAGCACAGTGGGGTCGCGGCATAGTGGAGACGTTGCATAGTTGGGTCCAGTATAGATTTAATCTGACAGTGATTAAAATAACTATCATAAGAAACGCTTCGATGCAAATCTGTAGATAGTGTTTAATTCTAAGAAATTGATTGATAACTACAAAAGCAACATTATCCATAATATTAAAATGGCATATTTTTGAATACGGTTGCCATTTTCGCATAGCAGATAGGTCGTCGGGACAAATTTTTTTTTTTTCATTTTATAGTACATAAAATAAGCTTTAATTTGATATATGTTTAAAGGACGCAGTATTTCCGGAACATTTTCAAAAACTAAGTTGAAAAAGTTAGTTAATTAATAAGAACAAAGTAGCTGTTGCTAATTTCATAAAAAGCCTCTGAATCTGATATATTTTATTTAAAAAGTTAACCAATTTTCCGTATATCAGCTCTTTAACTGAAATAAAATTTTAAGAATTTAATGTCATTGTCTTAGAATACAATTTAAAATAAATTATAAATATTATTAAAAAAACAAGTAAAATGTAGATTTAGGATGATTTCAAATTTCAAATTTGTTCAAATACTGAAAAATAATTTTTTAAATATAATTTCAATTTAATATAGCAACTAAAACATATTTCTGCGTCACAGTATGCAAACAGTTTTTATCTTAATTTAAACGTATATGTATTAAATTAAAAAATGACTACTAGTTGTTTTTTTGCAAAATACTCTATTTTTATTACACGTTATACGCTGATTTGTGAGCCTATACTCTTCAATATAAATAGTACAAAAATAATTTTCAAGGTTCTATGTAATTTTAAAATTTTGTTGGTGTGTTATGCTGTATATCCCCTAAAACACCATTGATGATTACTAAAAACGTTGTTTTTATAAATTATGTAATCCTTTGATCTTTTAATGAACAACTATGCAATAATAGATCACTTTAATTTTAAATTTTATTATAATTAATGAAAAAAAAAACGTTAAATAATAAAAATGGCTTAAAATTTTTTGTTTTAATTTGCTCACACATAATGCTTATCTTTAAATGTTCTAGTAAAATAATTGAAAATAATTTAAAAATATAGATTTATATATATATATACAGGGTGATTTTTTTATCATAACCCACTCAATTACTTGCAGAATAATAATAATTTAAACATTTTTTTTTTTCATTATTTTAGTTACACATTATTCTTGAATTTTTAACTATGTAATACTTTTTAAGTTCATCCTTATGCCTTGGAGGAGGCAACTTTGTTTTTTTAAATGGTAACACATATTTTTAATTTAATAAAATGTTTGAGTTTTTAATTTAATAGTAAATGGCATTTGAATTTTTAATATAACTTAATTCGTTTATTAGATATAATCATTTAAAGTTTCAAATTTTTGAATTAATATACAGGTATAATACACAAGGGATTACAAATACAGGTAGCTAATTGGTTTTTTATAACATCGATATTAGCAGGTACACAGCATTGTTATTATCAATTGTAGTAAGGCACATTGTTATGAGTTTATAAATACACTAACTGACAATACAGAAAGTATATCTATTGATAATCATAATTGATAATAAACAATCCGTGACTGAGACAGCAATGTCATAAAAAACCAATTAGCCACCTGTATTTGTAATCCCTTGTGTATTATACGTGTATATTAACTCAAAATTTTGAAACTTTAAATGTTTATATCTAATAAGCTAATAAAGTTATATTAAAAATTCAAATGCCATTTACTATTAAATTAAAAACTCAAACATTTTATTAAATTAAAAATATGTGTTACCATTTAAAAAAACAAAGTGACCCCCTCCAAGGCATAAGGGATGAACTTAAAGAGTATTACATAGTTAAAAATTCAAGAATAATGTGTAACTAAAGATAATAAAAAAAAAAAATGTTTAAATTATTATTATTCTGCAAGTAATTGAGTGGGTTATGATAAAAAAATCACTCTGTATTTCTTTCATATAACATACTTTGCCAGCTATCAAATTTCAGTATTGAACCCTTAATAAATACTTGCATATTATAAAAATGTCTATTTGAAAAATAGTTATTTACTGAATTTTTTTTTCAAACTTCAAGACCTATGAAATACCTGAAAAAATGAAGGCAATAGTTAAGAAAATATTCCCAGAGTCAACAATGATTTATTCTATATTGGATGTCAGGAGCAAATTGATAGAAATTAATAACAAGGAAGCAGAAGAATTAAAATTAAAATTGGATCCATTAAATAGTAATGAACATAAATTATTACATATAATAAGGGATTGAATATAATTTCTTTTATACTTAGTTCGAAACAAAAAGATTTATTAGAATAACATCATTAAATAGTTAGTAAAATGTTATACATGGTGATCAAAATCTGGTATGACACTAATTTTCTCAGAAACTATTGAGAATTTAAAATTTTTGTAATAAGAAAAATTATTAAGTTTATAAAACTCTACAATAATATGAAGTTAAATAAATTTTTTTTTATCCCTCAAGGATAAAAATGTTTATTTATAATAAAATCAATAAATAAATAATAACAAAGTTATTAATACAACTACAAAAATATACATAAAATAATTAAGTGATTTAGGGGTTCATGTAAGTTCCTTGGGTACGCTAATGATGATAGACCAAAAAATTATTAATCGGTAATAAATAATTAAATAAACTAAAAGAACAAAGTTATTATTATATTAGAAGAAATTAATATGATAAATAAACACAAAAAAAAAAAAAATTAATATGTATAAATGATAAATATTTATAATTTATAAAACAAGTTGTATCTTTCTTGATTTTAATAAATATCACATAACATGTAATTAATTTCACTTACGATTTTGATCAATATATATTTTCAGTTTAATAAAGTTATTTTTTGAAATAAATATTAGGTGTTAATTTTCAAGTTAAATGTCCATACCATAATTATTTTTATTCAACTATATTTGTATTAAAAAAATCTATTTATTTTAAATATTATTTAAAAAAAAATTCTAGGGAATGAAGTTATGCTTTGTTTTACAGATTTAAATAATTCTTTAATACGAGCATAAATAAATTATTTTTTTTCTATTTTAATATTTTTTAAATTATTTTTTTTTTAGTGGATGTATTTATTACTTATAGAAATCTTATACAAATTTTAAATAATACTTATGTCCAACCTCCAAAAATAATGGTGCGTTTATTCAACAAATTGCTTAAAGGATTTCATGAAAAAGATATGGAAAAAACTGGAAAAATCTCTATAGATGATTTTAATAACGTCATAGATACAGCTTTTAATGACGATGTTACAAAAAAAAAAATAAAAAAATCTTTTGAAAATATGAATTACGTATATTATGAAGGTGCATATCAATTTTCAATTTAATATCTTCACTAAAATTAACACTATTTTATTTTAGCTTGGTTAATGAAAAAAAGAAATGATGTAAATAAATTATCTTCGAAGTTAATGATGTTATTCACTTGAGATAATCATAAAGAAGATGATTATTATTAAAATAAATCATCAGTACAACAGTTGGTTTTTATAAATATTAAATTGTTTAAAGCTTATTAACTAAACAAAAAGAATAATAAATAATTATTAACAAGAATTCATTTTTATATTAATTAATATATTTTCCGCAAATTTAAAAAATATTTAAAAAGTAAAATAATTGTGCTAACTTAAGGAAAAAATAAAATTCTCAATAGTATTATTGTTTTAGTAGAAATTCACCAATCAACGATAAATCAATCACCCTGCATATTCCATACTAAAATATATGTTAAGTGCGGTCAATAGTAAACATTGTTATCATAGAAATACCATTGGTATTCAGTGATTGAAGTATATGTTCCAAGCCTAATAAATGAATTGAGTTATAAGTATCACATGGTAGTAACAAAACACTATGACAATGAATTCAAATGATATTGCAACAATGTAATAAAAAATTTAATTTTAATTTAATACAAATCCTTGTAGGGATTTGTTGGTTTTGAACGTAGCTTCATAGATTCAAAACAGGGGATAATTTAAAATAATTATTGTACTTATACTCACTGGATACCACTGATCATACTTTTTTATGATATAAACGTTATGATTGGTCAATCAAGTGTCAATTATGACGCTTGGAGTAACATTGAGGAAAAATTTTACATAGGTAAATATCTTTTGAGAGAACATCAACGTATAATATCCACTAGGATGTTGTTAAACTTTCTACAATAGAATGTCCTGTAGATTCAAAAAAAACTGTTCAGAAGTATAAAAATCAATGTTAAAATATCACATTTATAAGATTTGATATTAATTATAAATATGTTTAGTCATTCATAAATATGATTTTAAGCTCAAGTACTGTTATTTTTTACTTGTAAAATGATTGATGAAAAATTAAAAGCATTGTTGGATAAACATCGGTTAAGGAATTATATATTAATTTGGTAACACCACGATTAGTGTTATTGCCTCCATCGGATGCTAGAAGATGGGTAACGAGCGTCTTGACCATCTTTCAGCTTACTTCCTGATATTATGGTTTTTGATTACGTATGCGATCGTTGTGTGACTCTGCACTATCGGTTTTTTTTTTTTTGGAACCTGCGTTGTCATTGCCATCTTATTGTTTTTTGCTATATGGATCTATGGTGCTTTCGAGCACATAGTAGTTATTTAATAAGTAACATGTCACCCTTGCGTTCGTCGCAACCTTGTGCATTGTTAGTGTATTGTCCTTGGGATTATTTTTGTTTTCTGATATACATCACAATACCGTTTACGATATGTAATGCACTTTGGTCAGCAAATCGAATTTGAGTTCACATTAATCCATTAAACATTCAAAATTGTCATAAGTTGTTGCAACTTAGCTGATAAGTATAATACTTGTTTATTTTTAATTTAAGATTTATTTACATTTGTTATTTATTATTTTGTTTATATTGGCGCCATTGTAGTATTAGTACTAATTGCTCCCCCTACCCACTATGATATATATTTAATATTTTATGATTTACATTTAATACATTTAACTATTTATATGTTTTAGATTAATTCTACTATTTTTCATACATTTCTCTCCCCTTATTTGTTTTCCTTGACCTAGCATGACTTAAAACAAAAAAAAAACGTACATTAACCAACTTCGATAGCAACACCGGACACTACATTCATACAAGCATTTGTTTGAACGCTACACCCGGTGATATTCATGCGGATAAGTTAACGCCCGTTATTTTGTCTCTAATCATGCAAAAGAAAGAAGTAGGTGAGTACTGTGTATGAATGAATAAAATGAATTTAGAGCATATAAACAATTAACTGTATTAAAAACGTAAACCAAATATATATATATATATCAATGTGGATAGGGGAACACTTAATAATAATGTAAAAATGGGGTTAAAATAAAATAAAGAATAATATAAAGAATAAAACAAAACATTATGGTTAGTATTTATCTCTAATGACGATGATGGTTGGTTGATGTAAGTGGAAGGTAAATGAAGTCGTTGGTATGACAATTAAACCAGGCATAAATTACTGTTGCGAAAAGTACTTTAAAATGTACAAATAACTAATAATTCACCATGAGTGTATTGCAAGGGTGATAAACAATAATGTACAAAGGTGCGACGATTGCAAGGGCTATATATCAGCGTTTTTTTTTAACAACTACGTGCTCGCAAGCACCATAGAGTCATGTAGCTAAATAAGCTAAGACATCAGCGACAACGCAGACACACAAAAAAGGAATCACAGTAACTCGTCGTACAACGATAGCATACGTAATCATACAACATAATGGCTAGATATAGTGCTGAATGATGCTAAAGAAGCTCGTCTACCATTTTCTATCATCCGTTGGAGGCAATAACGTCGACAGTGGTGTTACCAAATTACATAAATAACAGTGTATTCAACCAATATGTTCCAACTTACTCCCGACGTTTAAAGCTAAAGGCTTTCAAGACAAACTGCTTCATATCCTCGATTGACCTTTAACTTAAATCTATCTTAACACTAAAATGAAAAATATGTACACAGTTAATTTAACGTACCACATGGAAAACATGAAGGAACAAGATAAAATATAAAACATGCAAGATAAATAAATCACTCAAGGGTAGTTTGACTAATTTTACTACCAATCGTCATGTAAATTTATCGGAATATCTCGACGTGCTACAAACCAATCAAGAGCGGCAAGAAAATCACCCGAAATTAAATGTGGAACGATTGCAAACAAATAACGCGATGTATACCTTGGTAGTTTTACTGCTGTGATGGCATCGTTTATTTACCAAAATGGAGACCTCCATAATACATACCGACGTCTTGAAAAGCAAGTTGTGAAAGAACATGAGAAATTGGCAAATCTCCCATTATTGGGTATGGACGAACGGCATTATTCTTAATCAAATTACACAAGTAAAAATAAACTGCCAAACAGCGTCGCGACCAGAAATTATCAAAAACTTTCTTTGTATCATTGATTAAATCAACTTTGGTCTAGCATATAAATATCCGCTGTGTTAATGTTGAATTATTAAACGCGTATGATGCGAAATTTTAGGTAACAGTATCAGATGTATTGTAATCTGGACTAATAACACAGCGGAGGTGGTCATCGATACGAATTAGTTCAGCCGTGTTAATAAACGTCGCTAGCTGAGCGAGTGAACCTGGTGTGACATAATTATGTTAAAATACTTGTTTCTTTAAATTTTTTAAATATTCTTTCTATGTTTTTAAAGTAACTTGATGTAAAATGACAGTTAATTCAATTTAAGCTAGAGTCCCTGTGAGCATGGATTGATGGCGGCCCAGCGGTAAATATTAGCGAACGATCGTTGCATTCTTTGTAATGTGGAAAAGTGGTGTAACATTTGATCGGCGACGGTTTTTTTGTTAATGATAGTGAGAATTACTGTCTTTTGTTGATAATTCGGTAGTTGTTCCGACTTTAATAAGCCATAATTATGCCACGGCTATTGTTTGGCAGGTAATCGTAAAAACGCCGGTTTTTCTTCATGAATGTGACATAATATTGTATCATGTGATAATAAATCGCGCGATTCCAGGTCCGCGGGATTATCAACCGTATTGATATAAAACCATTTACACCCCAGTATTAATTGCTGTATTTTAGCGATTCTGTTTGTTACAAATACTTTAAAAACTTTGGCTAACGATTAACCACGATAATATGACGGTGAGTCGATCTACGCATTGATCTTTGGAAAATCAATGTTTAAACATTTTTTTACGAGTTTTAACGTTGTCGCGAGTAATAAAGCAGTATATAGTTCAAGGCGCGACACTGTAATTTGATATTTATGAGTTATGATTGGCTCTACTTTGGTCTTATAAGTGACGAAATTTATCATAGTGTGACCGAAAAGGTCTACTACCCGCAAATAAACAACGGCCGCGTAACCACGTAAACTCCTCTGGTAGATGACTGTGCCATTCAAGACCCGATTGCGATAACCTTTGCATAAATGTTTTGATCCATAAGAGTGTAGGCCCGAGCGTACCTATAGAATCGAAAAGTCTGGCGATTGTAGAACGTACCTTGCGTTTCGTATAATAAATTGCCCACCATCATTGCTTTCCTGATGAGTCCCTAGTATCGTTTCACAATTTTTCTTGATTGGTAAATACAGTGCGTGTCTACGTCACTTGCCGAGGACTTGAAAGTTAGCTTGCCTATACGGAACGCCTGAACTCATAAGTAATCGAAACATTCGTTCAAACTTAATCATCAGTGAGCGTATCATAATGTTTACACTATTAAAAGTGTAGCAATTGAAATCAATTTTACTAATTTGTATAAATGTAAATTAAATTTATAAAATAATTTCTTTATGTAACTCAGACAAATTGTATTATTTCTTGAATAACACATA